TATTAACAGAAACAAAAAGGAGTTTTCTTTCTTATTCCATAGGAGATCACATATATTTGAAGTCAATTGATATCCATTGAGTCTTCTCCCTGCTTGATCCTGCAACATCTTCAGCCATTCCTTTTCTCCTCACTTAAAATGTTTTCTAGTCTCTGATCATTCCTATTGCTCCTTCCAATGTGCCTCCCTGGAGAGTTCTGCAGAAAGAGGAAGTCTGTGTTCAGATTTGTTTCTACAAATTTACCTTAGGTGGTTCAGGCTTGAATGCTGGAGGTGGACTTGGTTCTCTAAGGATCTCCCGGCTACCAGCTTTTCTCAACTGAGCCCTTGGCTCTGGAGTAATTTTTTTTAAACTCTATGAAAGAAAATAAGAGATAAAATCACTGCAGTACCCAGTAATTCAATTGTTTCTCCTCTCTCTCAAGTTTGCTATTTTGGAAACAGCAACCAGGAGTTAGCAACCTGACCACAAATGCTGCAAATGTAATTGCGAAGTTCAAGTCAATGAGACATCATCAGGAAATCCATAAAGTCAGGCAGAAAAGCAGAGCTATTATTCTTTCAGCTTAACTATGTAGCTCTAAAACACTCTCAGAAGCAAGATAAAGCTTCAGTTAAGGAAAGAAACCTATGATTTTTTAAATCATACATGCAGGGCTTTCAGCAAGCCCAAAGTACAGCCTTACTGAAAAATCCAATCATCTTACCTCCTCATGATGCACAGGTTCAGAGGACCGGCTGACAGATGAAATCCTTGGTTCCTCTAAGGGCTCATCAAGTTCATTGTCAGTGTATGCACCTCCTTCTCCATCTGTGTCCTCTAGGTCACTGATCAGCCGACTGTCACAGCTCAGATAGTCAGCACCCATTGCAGTAAGGTAAGACATACGATCATCTGCATCATCTTCCATGCCATCCATCTAGAGGAAAGTCAGAATTAAGGAATAAAGATTGAATAAATAAGCATGAGAGTCCAGTTAAGTCTCAACATCAAGCCGAACAACTTCTTAGGTGACATTACAGAATTGAAAGAAACTAATGCAGAATCACAACACAAAGTCCCGTAAAAGTTTATCCCTCCTCACCATTCTCTCCCAGCCACAGAATTGGTGATGAAAGCTTCAAAGTATAACAGAAAGAATAACAGTTGAAGTCTGTCTTGGTAACAAAAAAATTACTATTTGTCCAACCTGTCTAGCACCAGCAAACAGAATCTTGAACAATTTTTACTGGCAAGAGATATCTTGAGGCATCTGTATAGCTTTTTACAGTATGAAATGACTGCTTACCTTTCCTTCTGATACCCATACTGCCTCTCCTTGCTGTTGCTGAATTGTATCTTTCAGACTACCATACCAGCTGTCGTTGGCTGAATTCAAATTGATGGTTGCTGTAAAGAGTGAAGGAAAAATTATATACACACAGCACATGCAATGCGATCCTTTATCTGTTCCTTCTTGCTTAATACCTTTTGTTTTAGTTATGTCAGAATGTTAAACAGCCATTTCATTTAGATCATTGAGAGAAGCATGGTATATTTATTTTATTGTTTGTCCATTCCCCAAGCTTATTAAATCACTTACCTCTTAATGATGTTACACTAATTCAAAATTTCTTTTGCTTTAGAATTTGGCTGAGCAAGTAACTTTGAAAAAAAGTCAAGGAAGGGATTGCTCATGACCATACCCTCACACCCTTTTAGTGCCAGACTTCATGACTTAATATGCAGAGTAATAAATAGATGTCTTGAGACTTACAGAGTCACATCCACTACTCTCTTAGTGAGCAGGTTAAACAAACATTCTTTCTTACCTGTAAAGAGGTGGGAACAAGTTTTCTTCAGTTTGTTTGCTTGCTCATAAAGCTTTCTAGAGCTCTTGTTTGATGTAGAACATAGCCTTTGTCTCATGGTCTTCACACCCTGCCTGCTGTCTGGGTTAAAGAAGACCACAATTGGAAACCACTGGGTGTAATTTAGGAGGTCCACTGCTTTAGGAGTGACATCCAACAGAGCATGTTTATCCTGTTAACAAGAAAAGCCAGTCAGTGTGGTGCTTGTGGGGAGCAAAAAGAGGCAATTGGAACACAGAATCCTAAGAAAATGAGGATATTTTTGTCCAAATAAGACCACAACTTACTGGATGTTTCCCACATTTATGTCACATTTAGAATGTTAAGCTGCTGAGGACAGCAAGAGCAAGTAGAACACTGCATGACAGTAAAGCCTGCATGGCAAATTCAGAAAGCATATAGTAAAACATAGATGCTCCTATGTCCAAATTTAGAATAGAATAAGGAAGGAGAATTTAATTTCTAGTATCAGGTTCAAAGCTATAAAAATGACAAAAATTGCTGATGAACAATTTCAAACCAGCTTTATCATTACATCAAGCCTGCTTCTTACAGAAATAGATGCAGTGAAGATTTGAAAACTCAGCAAGTTTTAGGAGCAAACAAATGAAACAACATGCCTGAGAGCATATGCAATTTTCAGAGAAGTAACTCTACCTGCTCAATGATTTGCTTCACAGTGTTCAAGCGCACGACCCCAGTTGACTTCTCTGAACCTGCATCTCGTGGTTCTGTCTCTGAAAAGACAACATTTCAGCCTAACTAGAGTGGCCAGGCAGCTGTGATTATTAAGTTATCCAATCTCTAAGTTAAGGATGGAAAGAAGGCCAGGAAGAACACTCACTTGCTGTCTGGTACAGGTAAGGCAAATCATTTGACAACTTCTCCATAGCAACGTCTGCAATAGGGCCAAATATCACCACAGGTCTCTTAAAACCAGCTGAAAGAAAAGCATTTGGAGAGAAGATGAGTCTGATAAGACTGGTTTTATACACAACAGACAAGATCCTCAATTACTATGCAAAGTTATGAACAAGTCAAAGATATAAAAAAAATATTTAAAAAAAATTCTCAGAGGTTTGTGCAACAGCAAGATACAGAAAGCTACTTTTATCAACTGAGAAAGCAAAAGACAATGCTTTAACTCAACAGCTTCCCTCTAATGAAGCTGTATTTAGTAGATTCTAGATCTGAAAACGTACAGCAGATTTTCACTATATCTTTCTATCCATCAAAACCTCATGAATCCTGACACAGTGGGTTTTGTGTGAATACAGATATAAATGCTAAACCAACTGCAGGGCAGCTTGAAGAAGCCAAGAAATGCAAAACTGTGTTATACTCATGTTGAAGCAAGTGCGTAGTCCTCAGAAGTTAATGGGGGAATGTCATTCTGTTGCTCAGATATCTGGGATCTGCTTTAAAATACTCTTTGCTTTTTGTTTTGTTCCAGAATACTGTCATGTGCAAATATCCAGAAAAAAAATTATCCTGCTCAACATCACTAGTAATATAGATAGTTTAGAGTGACAGAGATGGATGGGTTCAATCATTTTGACAAAACATTGACAACACTTGGGTTCTATTTGCTCTAAAGTTAATGTTAAAGCGGTTTTATGAAGATTGGGATTCATCTCAGGCACACGGATTCAGAACTAGCCAAGGAGAAGCTGAGGATACAAGAAAGCCCTGCTTGTAACATCACTAGTAATATAGATAGTTTAGAGTGACAGAGATGGATGGGTTCAATCATTTTGACAAAACATTGACAACACTTGGGTTCTATTTGCTCTAAAGTTAATGTTAAAGCGGTTTTATGAAGATTGGGATTCATCTCAGGCACACGGATTCAGAACTAGCCAAGGAGAAGCTGAGGATACAAGAAAGCCCTGCTTGTTTTATCCTTTTTTCATTTTAAACCTTAAAACCAGCATGTGTAATTTGGAGACAAAGGAGCATAGCAGCAGTTTAAAAGCATAAAAATCTTTTCCTTATAGTAATTATTATCATCCAGAAATTTGCATTCTGAGAAAAACGTCATCCCTTCCTGTCCTGGTTCCAGGCAGAGTTACCTTCTGGAGCAGCCAGGAAGGGCACATTAGGACCCCTGGGGTTGTTGTATAGCACCTCACATTGTGCAGATGGGATGGAGGGCCAGGGGGTACCCTTTGCTGTGGCACTGGTTCGGTTGGGTGCTGTGCGTGTTGGGGCAGTGTGAGCAGTCGCGTGTGAGTCGTTCACCCGTCTTATACACTCTGTTATTAATACAGCTGTCACTGCTCATTTTCTTACTTCGTTGCTGTTTCTTAGTAAATTGTTCTTATCTCAATCATGATCTTTACCTGTTGTGCCTCCAACTCTCTCCATCCTGCAGAGGGAGTGGGTGAAGGAGTGAGCGAGCAGTGTGTGGTCTGGGGGGGTTCAGTGGAAACACTAAATCAGGGGATACCACTCCTAAACCATGATACTTCCTCTTGCTTAAATCTGTCATTGAGCCCAAGTTGTTAGAAATCACTTACTTAGCTGACCAAACATCTGGGCTCTAAACCAGCCAGCAGTAAGTGGCTCACAGAAGCCTCGCTTACCTTCACGCAACTGAACTCGCTCATAAGCTGGGAACTTTGTGCTCACAGACACAATAAA